AATACTGAGTTTGTTCATGATGAGGAAAAAAATGAATGATACTCAAATGAAAATTTGTCATAATACTGAAAAGTTGCTCACAGGATCTGTTATACAATGAATTTGTGATTGTCACACTCCAAATTTATAATATTCTGCTATTCAATTTTTGAAAACATATAAGCCGTAAATGAAGGTAACCAAAGGCTAAAGTAGCACTTTTTTGGGTCACTAGTAGGACAAGGATTTCTTAATACTATGTATGTGATTAAAATAATGTGAGTGAGTATTTACTTTGAAGATTCTATATCATGACTTCGATATACAAGGCTCACTATGTAATACATTATGCATATGTAATTTTGAAATTCTTGTTCATACTGCACTAATATTTGCCAAATATTTTAAACATTTTTTACTTTTACTATTTTGGACAGTAAGAAAGTCTCCCAGATGTAATTGCTGTTCAAGAAAAACTAAGCAATTAACAGTATAGAAAACTAAATTCAATTCTTACTTTACTGAGTAGGAATCCACCAAAATATGTTCTCTATCTACAATCTCAGCGTAAAATTTCTTTACAATATCATCTGATCATTAAGTTTTATAATAGTTACTTTAAAAGTCATAAATACAGTGATTTCTAATCATTTAACAATGTTCTAAGTTAACAACATATAAAAATTAAACTGTTTCTTTATGGTGTATCAAGTAGTTTACAGAATCATTTTTTTGCACACTGGTAAGGTATTACTACAAGTTATATATGAATCCAAACATAGAAAGCAATAAACAAGCATGGAAAGTTTTATCCTTCACCTTCATCTCTTGGTGATGCACTTCCTAGCTACCAAGACGCCAGTTGGTGGACCAGTCATCTCTATCTGGCATCTGCTATGCAACCAGTAAGACAAATGGAAGAAACCCATAGTTGCTCTCACTTTAAAGGTTCCTCTTACATTGTACATGACCCTGTTGCCCTGAACCTGTCCTTTTAGGTTCACACCAAGATTCTCAGGCAAAAAGACCAAGCTGGATATGAAGTGCAATGATTCCAACCTGCTCTCCCTTCTCCTCTGAGTAAAGGGCTGAATGGACTGTGTTGATATGACCCTGTCTGAAAAGAAAAGTTCAACATCCAAGGACTCAAATCTCACATCAATTTTCCTGTTGGGGTTGGTGATGTTTGCAAGGAGGGTGAAGTCACCGTTTAAGGATTCTGGGGAGTCAAAGTACACTGAATTAAGGTTTGCATTGGGGATGTCAAAAGTGGGGTTCCTTGGTTTGATGCCTAGGAAGATGATCAAAGTTAAAACTCCAAAGAAGATAAGCATAACGCTGAATATGAGGCACAACACTGCAGCAAACCATATGATGGGGTTAGTCCTTTGAAATGGAGGCTGTCTTAGTGTTGGTGGTGGTGGCCTAATTGACTTTGTTGGAACATGATTTGGTGCTTCTGGTTCTTGAGAATGTTGCTTGATGGGGTGTTTTGATATGAAAATTTGGTCAGGAGAGACTTGCTTGGTTTGTTTTCTTGTGGCTAGGGGTGGAGGAGGAGGTGGGGGTGGAAGGGCAAGCATGTTTGAGAATGAGTAGATGCTGCTAGAAAATGTCACACTTCCATTCAAACAAACAAAACAACGAGGGAGATATGTATGTAGAGAGATTAAGATGATGTCGTGATCAAGATGAATGGTAGTTATTTATTTATTTATTGTTGTAAGTAGAGTGATGGGTTAAGGAAAGTGAAGAAGGGATAAAGAAGCTTTTGATTTAGTAGTGGGGACAATATATTTGTTTTTCTTCTGGGTATTGACAAAAGGTAGGAATATGAGGAACCAAAGTGGAGCTACATTGAGATCTGGATTTTGAAATGTTGGTGGTATTCGTACGTGGTAGTGTTTGAGAAAGTTCTAAAGAATGAGTGGAACAGAACTCTCACATTCTCTGTTTACCCTTTAAGGATGTGAAAATTGTAGTATGTTTACCCTTTGGCAGAGAAGAACGAAAGAGTAAAAGCCCAACAAAACTTGGGTTATTAGCAAAATTTTAACATCTCATTGAAATTATTACTTTAAGACCACATTATACTTTACCAATTCAGAATGTCTTTTCAATCATTAATAGATTTCATTCCATCACATAATTACATTTTACATAAATATTGGAAACATGTTATTACATAAAACTAATAAGTTTTTAAGACAGTTAAAATAAATCATGTAAACTAAATTTAGATAACATTCATCATAAATTTCAAATATATATGTTAAATGGATATTCATGAATAATTATCTAACAGGATATGAATAAATATTATAATATTTAATTCTCAAATATTCGTTATTTATTAATTATTTATATTTAATGTTTGTTTAAATCAACATATTGATGAAAAAATATTAACCACTAAAAAATTATTTAAAAATAAAATTTATAGATTTATATTATTTACTAAAATTTATGTTTTATATAGACTAATTTTATGTATATTGATATTTTTTTTAAATAATTTATAAAAAAATTATTTTAAATAAAAAATAAAATAAAAATATTCGTGAAATATTAAAAAACCTGCAATTTTTTTAAAAATAAATACCCGACAAATAATAAAAATAAATAACAGACAATATTTTCTTTAAATAAATAATAAGTATGTGGAGTGAAAAATATATAAAAGTGAGATTTATAATATTTTCTCTAATGTCTTAAATAAAATCTAAATCCCAAACTTTTTAATAAAATATCCACGTTACTACACATTACTCTAATTTTTCATCTCACGTAAATCAAATTATCAATATTTACACAAATCATTACATGAACATGTCATTTCAATTCAAAAATATTTTTTTTTCTTTTATTCTAACTTAAAATTTAAAACAAAACTAATTTTTCTTACTTTTTTTTATTTATAATTCAAGGAACTAAGAATAAATAAAATTAAATAAATCAAAACCATTCTTAAAAATTCCCTTATCACTTTCTAAAGCCAAAATCTAAACACATTAAAAAAATAATAAAAATTAAATATTTATTTATTTATTTATAATATCAAAATTCAACTTGAACATAATTATGATTCATCATTTAATCCTTCAAACCCTCATATACATTACATATAAACATGTCTTTCTAGTAAAAAGATATACATTTTCTTGGCGCATAATTTTGTTAAAGCTCAATTTTCGTGTTTTTCACATTTAAATTATAACATGATTCCCTAAAAAGAGCAAAATATATTAATTATAAACAAATAACTAAACTAAAATATGACATACTATATTAATTAATTATAAACATAGCACACATCCAATATTTATATCACTCTCCAAACACATTAAAAATAATTTATCAATATATTTTCAAATATATTAAAATTAAAAATATTTAAATAATAATAACTTATTTTAAAATTTAAAAACAATTTATTTTCAAAAATTAATTTAAAACTTTTTCACATATTACATATTAGAAATTTGAAAAATCATTAAAACTTCAACCATATATTTATAAATTATTAAATAAAAATTTGGCAACCAAAAAAATAAAATAAAGCAATATTTAAGAAAGAAATGAAAGATAAAATAATTGTATTTATTATTAGTATTTTTTATTTAATATTATTTTTTAATTATTATAAAAAAATACAAATAATGGATTACAATTAATGAGTACTTGATTTTTGAATTAAATATGAAGGATATCGCACCTTGAATTGAAAGTAAACAAATAATGATAATATTTTCTATTATTTTCTTCTTGTTTTTGTAAAGAATGTTTTTAACTTTATAAATAAATTGATAAAAAGGATATTTTACTCATAAATAATTGCATATTTTTCTTTTAAAATAGTATTCAAATAAATCTAAACATACGATGCATGATTTTTATATACTGGTATAAATAAATAAAAAGATACACATATACTGCTTCTAATGTCATTAAATAGGGTTATTATTAGAGTGGTTTAAGAATAAAGAGTCTTTTTTAATGTAAATCTTAGTATAAAATTATTTTAAATTAAAAAAATTATATAGACAACTTTTGATAAGTTTTAAATAATTTTTTTAAACAAAAATTAGAGATATTATAACAAATATTCCCTTTGTTTGTAAATAAATGTTGAATTTTTAAAAATATTTCAATTTATGGATTGTGTTTTAGTTTCTAATTTAAAATCTTTACGAAACTTTAAATAAATTAGAATTTATATCCAAATATATTAATATACTACATTTGTATACTCTAACTTGTATCAACCACTAATGTACTATAATAGATAAAATTATAATTTTTTATTTTATACTCATATTTACATTTACAGAGTATTGATTTTTGAAGTTAAGATTCAATATATATAAATGAAAAATATGAGTTTTGTATTCTTACGTTTCTCTTTGAGAAGAAAATAAAAACGATACTTTATTATTAGAAGGAGAAATAAGTTATTTTAAATAATTATGGTGGAAAGAATAATAAAACGATAAGATATTATTAAAAAAATAATATTTTTATTAAATTGTGGAGACAAACTTTCAATCCATATCCCAAATAAATAAGTACTGGTTGTCTTTGTCTTTTATTTTTACCATTCTTCTTATCATATTATATATCCTATAAACTTATTTTTTCTATCTAAAATGTTGATCAACAATTTACAGTTTAGATAGTTATGAATAAAATAAATAAATAAATAAATAATATTTAATTTAAGAATTAGAAATATCTCGTATTATATAAAAAACATGACAAAATAAGAAAAAAAATAAAAGTAAAAAAATTAATACTACAATTTTTTCACATTTTTCAAAGCATAAAAGAAAAAACTTGATTGGGCATTTATGAGGAAAGGATAGAAAGACAAAAATAACGGGTACGGTGCATTTTCTGCAATACGAGACTCCTGCACTTCCATTTTCCCAGTGGTGTCCGATTGTTTTAACTTTCGAAAGTTCAAATGTTTAGCAATAAAAAGGGCGCAGTGTAGTTGTAGACACACTCTTGCTATTTTCAGCATGGAAGAAACAAAGATCCAATCCGACACCATTCAAGAAGATAATGGAAAATGGGTAAGCCATTATTCCAGTGATCACCAAATACTGTTGGTGGGAGAGGGTGATTTCTCTTTCTCTCTTTCCCTCGCCAGATCTTTTGGCTCTGCTTTCAACATCGTCGCTTCCTCGCTCAACTCCTACGGTCTCTCCCTCTCTCTCTTATCCTTTTGGTTGTGTACGTGCTTTTGGCTTGTGCAGCACGTTTCCTTATTAAAGTTTCAATCTTGGTACCCGGCGTAGTGAGAAATGCATGAGGAAATAGTTTATGCTTTGCTCTTTAAAATATCATGTGTTTTGGGGTTTGAGCATCTGTGTTTTTTCTTTCTATTGGACGGATATATTATTCATAAAATAAACTCTATAATGTGTTTTTATTCTTGGTTTATGATATTATTATTGTTTTTAGTTGGTTGTTTTGAAGATGATGGAAGGTGTGTTCTTGATGGAACGTTTTAAATTTGTTAACAATGTTGTGTAGCATTTTTTTGCGGCCTTCCTCGATATTACATGATCCCAAAAACCTAGGCATTGTGACCAAAATTGCATGAGAACTATTTAAGCATATCAATCAAACAAGATTGTTGCAACTGGACATATTGTTAAATTTTTATCAGTGAGAAGTCAGTGGCTTGTGATTTTGTAACGTTTCTAGTGAACTGAAGACATTTTACATTGTCATTTGTTGGAAGTGAAGCCATTTTCAGTTTTGTGTTGAATTAGTCAATGAAACGTTATTTAAATACTTCCTTTTGATATTGTGACTTATTTTGAGCTTTAGGAATGACCTGCTTCCAATTTTGTTCTTTCTCTAACCTTTCTACTATGTTCTCATTCTCCACAGTTTGGGAAATGCTTCTGATGAACGGTGATGTATTTTTATTGCATTCAGAACATGGATTATTTTTAATTATTTCCTTCATTGATTGTTCCTTGTTTGGTAGTGCTTGTTTGTGCTGTTTAATGTTTTACTATATCTATCTATCTATCTACTTTGTTCTAGTTTTGAATGTGCTTGCTAGGAGTGAAAATGGAATGTGGAAAGCTGATGAATGAAAATAAGGGGTTACCTTTTGGAGTCATATTGCTTACGTGTTCAAAAATCCAAATGGTCTCTCACATGTAGATGATGTTACCAAGATGTACAAGCATGCAAAGTCAAATTTAGATGACTTGCGCAAGCTGGGAGCATGCCTATTACATGGAGTTGATGCAACCAAAATGAAGCATCATTCAGATTTAAAAATGCGAAGATTTGATCGAGTCGTATTCAATTTTCCTCATGCTGGCTTTCATCGAAGGGAAGATAACAAATTGATGATTAAGTGAGTTTTCTTGTACAATTCAGTTTGTTCGACTGATTGATATCTTTAGTATTTTACAAGGAACAATAATATATTTGGGACATTCTTGGTTCTGCTTTGCTGGTTTTTGTTTTGGAAATGAGAATATGAATTTCATGTTTTGTTCTGTACATTACTAGTTTTATTAGAATTGCTGGTCTGTATATTCAGTTGTGTTAGATTTCTTCGTTCATCAAACTCAAGGTTTTTTATTTTGAAATTCTTATCAACCCTCTACGTGATTGCATGTGGCGTTCTTTGTCTTTTCATGAATTTACAGGATGCATAAAACCCTTTTGCTTGGATTTTTCAACAATGCAAATCACATGCTTCGAGCTAATGGTGAAATTCATGTTAGTCATAAAACTACAGCACCTTTTAGCAACTGGAACTTAGAGAATCTTGCTGCACAATGCTTTTTGACATTGATCGAGTGTACTGACTTCAATAGAGAAGATTACCCAGGTTACAATAACAAGAGAGGTGATGGCTATAGATGTGATGAACCCTTTCCACTTGGTAAGTGTAGCACATACAAGTTTGTCAACACTCCTAAAGCTAAGCGAAAGCCTAAGAAGAGAAATAGAAAGAGGGTTTCTCGACAACAAATAAATCTCCCAATACAAGAGATTGAGGATGCTATGGAGCGATTACGAACTTCAGCTCATCTCAATTATTATCCTAAAACAAGTCAATATCTAAAAATGAAAGATGAGGTGACATCAGTAGTTGCTTTAAATAATAGGCACACTTCTGTCACCGGGGATCACTTATGTAGCATGGCAGAAGCACATAGAAGAGGTGCTGCATCTTGTGGCTATTCTGCTCTTGGTATAAGTCTAGGTCCTCCAAGAACATTGCAACCAACGGCGGAGCCATTGCAATCTTGGCAACCATGGCCAGCATTTACTAATGCTCTGACCGGTCATGTTAGGACAATGGAAACTGTTCCAATGCTACCACTTGATACTCCAAGAACATCGCAACCAGTACAGCCATTGCAATCTTTGCATCCATGGCCAACATCAAACAATGTTAGATACTCTCTGACAGATGAGGATAGAGCAATGGAAACTGTTCGCCTATCACTTGATGCTGGGTATCGGGTCTATGGTGGCAGGTCAAATTATTTGCCAGAACATGTTGGAACAATGCACACTGTTCCCTTGTCACATGATGCCAGAAATGGAGGTGATTATCAGGTTTATGGTGGCAGGTCAAATTATTTGCTAGAACATGGTGGAACAGTGCACACTGTTCCCTTATCACATGGTGCTAGAAATGAAGGTGATTATCAGGTCTATGGTGGCTGCTCAAATTATTGGCAACAAGAACTTGGCAGAATAACAAATCAGAGGGCAAGTTATTCTCTTGACAGATACATTGGTCAAGTGCCTGGCAAGAGTGTTCAGAGTGAGCTTCATAGAATTAATATTTTGATGTCAGAGAGAAGAAGGTTGTTTGTGAAGTCCTGATCATCCTGTTAACATTGGACAGTACAGTAGAGGAATTTCGAAACCAGTTGACACCTTTTTTTGTTTCTTGTCTATAGCCTCTTGTATTCAAGAGCTAGTTGAAGCTGTGAAACTGGTATAATTTTGACAGACATTCAGCATATGTTAATCTTTTGCAGTGTACTTTTGTTTCGTATGCACTCATGAATATTTACTTTGCTGTCAAATTATAAAATTGTTTTGGATGATGAATATGTTGATTTTTATACCTACTAGGATAAACTTTTTATCAACAATATTTTTTGTTTAGTTGAATGTTTGAAATAAGCATAAATCAAGTCCACCCATGTGCAGCTTTCATTACAAGTAAACAATGTATCATGTAATATTGAACACACACCAAGTAATAAATGTGCATTTTTACCAAAATTATTTTGTAGAGAAATTTATGTGATTATAGTTCCCACAAAATGAGCCTACTTTTCATGACTTGCAAATTGGCTTCGTATGCAATCAGAAAATTGTTAAAGGGGGTATGTATATAGCTTAAGTAAATAACTGTAGCATGAATCTTCTTACAGTAAAAATTGTGTCAACAGAAAAACATGTTCATACTAAATTTTCAAGAAACAAACAATAAATATCATATACTTATTGAGTAAAAATAATTTCAATACTAAATTTACTAGGATCGACATGAAAAAAGTAATTACAGCATGAAGTATTGACACTATTAATTTTTTTAAAATATAAAATTACAAATTTACTTTTTGCACTTCTTAAATAAAAGTAAATTATTAATAGAATATAAGGATTTGATGAGATCGTTGATAAGACTCATTCATTAAATTTTTCAGAGGTTCTATATTGGAAAGATAAGTGCTACTTAAATTGAAAAGGGTAAAAATAAATTAAGTAAATGAGAAATACCCGCTTAAAAATTCCCAATAACATTTTTGTTTTTGGGATGTCTTTAATTCTCTAACACGCTACAAAAAAAATAAAATAAAATCATTTGTTAAACTGCAATTTTTGATCGGTATACTCTTAGTTGGCAGATTTTAGAAAATTCATAAATTTTGTCCGATTATTTATTTTATTTATATTTTTATTTTATTTTTAAAAGTTAATTAAATTATTTTTCCATATTCAAACCAAAATATAGCAAAAATGCTGGCGTGAATGTATTATTAAAATCTATAATTTATTCTGTTTACAATATAATCATATTGAGAGGATTATCAACGCCACATTTTATATGCCTTAGAGTTTAAAGTAACTGTTAATCTTAAATTAAGTATATAAATGTATTTATTTTTCAGTGAGGTTTATTTGCGTTATTAGTTTTTTTTTCATACATATATATACAAAGAGATTTATTTATTTTAAAAATAAGAGTTATATGTTTATTTTTTTATTCTTATCATTATTTTTTAGTTTGAGAGTCATTATAAAAGATAAGAAATAATATAAAAATAATTAAAATTTAACCTTTTATTTTAACATAAATATTTAAAAATAAATGACAAAAAATATTTTTAAAATGAATAATCTTTCTTTTTTTATTTATATATATTTCTGAAAAGACATATTTATTTAAAATGACTTTTGTCAAATCAAATCACTCCCAAAGTACTCTCTACTTAGATTTTTCAAGTTATCCACATCATGCAGCATTTCATGCAATAATAAAGATATTTACAACAACATAAATAATAAACATATACTACTTTAACATTTTAATTTTCTTTATATTATTAGAATAATAGTTATTAAAAACAAAATACAAGTTTGCCTTTCTCATATTTACATCTAACATTTTTTTTAAATTGTAACATATAATATCAATGTATTGTATATTAGACCGACATTATTATTAAAAAAAAACACTCGGAGAATTATTATTAACAAAAAAAATACTCAGTGAAATATTTGATATTAAATATTTAAATATTAAATAGTGAAAACGTATAAAAGAAATAGGTTTTGATAATATATAATAATTTATGTTTGACTCCTAAATAAATGTAAGTAAAATTAATATCTTAATTTAAAAATAATCTTTTACTTTATTTTGTAAAAAAAGATAAATAATGTTAATTAATAATATAATTTTATTGACATAAAAAATAAGTTATTTAATTTATAATATTAATTTTGTATTTTAATATTTTTAGAGACAAAATAAAAAATATCATATATATTTAAAAAACTCGAAAGGGAAAAGCAAATTCCACATATATTCATGAATGAAAGTGACAGGTTGATGGATTGAAGGGTACCATTTAAAAAGTTTATTCTCATTGGATAACACACATTACCAAGCAGGTGCAGGTAAGTTCGTACACAGAATATCACACAGCTCAGCAAAATAAAAGGAATGTGCAAAATACATTTTACCTTGTTTTTGACATTTTATGACCTTTCAAAAATTAATTTAAATCTTAAATTTTAATTTTTAAACTCAAAAAATTCAATACGAGTTATTTGAAAAATAATGTTAAATATGTCTAGATAATCAATATAGAACTTGACTACATTTATAATATGTATTTTTTGTTTAATATTTCATTCGAATATCATTTTTCCCTCAAAGACTATTTCTTTATCAATTTGCAAAAATATTTACTATAAAATATAAGAAACACATACGTGGTGTGTTGATATACTTATGAAAAAAAAAAAAAAACACCTCAAAAACATCTAATATATGAGTATATAATAAATAATTTTTTTATTATTTAAGAAAAATAGAAAAAAAAACTATAATTTTTAATAGCCATTAAATGAGTCTACATAGACAATGAAAATGATTTAGTTAAGTTTTAAAAATAGATAAATAGAAAACTAAACCATTTATTCCTTATTAAAAAATAATTATATAGAATTTAATTCTTTGAAATTCTATATAGTTTATATCTTCTTTCTAAAATTTAAAATTTATATTTGTAGAATATCTCTATCTCATTAAATTTGTGGTCAAAGCAATTCTTTTTTTTTTCTTTGGTCCGGGGAAGAATGAAGTGATATGTTTTTGATATATTTATTTCATATCCTATATGTTTAAAGGAAAGAATTGATGAGTATAAACATGTTGAATCCAAATTAGGCAAAATAGATTTGGAAATGATTCAGATTTGTAAAGGGATAAATTAAGTTAAATTTGGGTTGTTTTGGTTGATTCGAATGTAATAAATATTAAGTTGGTATATATAATGAAATATTTAAGTTTTAATAATAATCTAAAATAACGTGAATTAACGGATTAAGTGTGATTAGGAAAAATATCAATATAATTTTGTATCATAAGACTAATGTAATAAAATAATATTCTTTAAAATATGTGAGAAGCACCAATAAAAATAGAATTAGGTGTAAAAAACAATAAAAACAAAAACACATGATATACACAAGTTTTTAACATAGAAAATTCTTCAATATAAAGGTAAAAAATCACAAGTACTCCCCTTCAAAGTAACATATTTATTATGATCCATTAAAGGTTACAAAAGAGTCTCCAACAAATAAAAATAAATAAAAAATGAAAGCAAATAAAACAACAATATTTACTAATGAGAAAGAAAATGGAAAATAAGAGTTGTACTACTAACCATCAATCTTTCTCCCTCTTCATACTTATAATTAATAATCCACTGATTAAAAATGAAAAACCATCATTATCAAAGTTTCTTTCTAAATATAAGCTTGATGAATAAATTCTTGATTGAATTTTGAAAAGGTGCAATATAGTGAATGTGCAAAAATCATATTGATTTTTTTTTCCTTTATTTGTTTATTATTATATTTTCAATAATAAGTCATTCTCACACCACCTTTGTCTAATCCCTCTCTACTTAAATAAATGAGATAAATATATTTTATACACTTAGGCTTATTCTCCATATAGGAAATGAGTCCAAAAATCTAACAAATATCTCTCATAATTATGTGAAAGTAATATAGAGATCACACAACAAATTCAAACTTCTCCCTTATAATATTTTAGCAATCATATCATCTCATTTACCCTTAATATAAATATTTGTTAATTCTAACATCTTAGCATCTACACCATCTTGTATTTAATAATATCACACATCAAAACGTTTAAATGTTTAATGAAAAGTTAAATTCTTATAAAGATGAATAACACTTTAAATATCTATAAATAGTAGCTTTTTTTTTCAACAAACCCAAACTCTTGCAAAAAAATTCGCCCATTACAACTTATTTCTTTCTTCAATAATGACAAAGAATTTTGTCTCTATAAATAAAATTACATATTTTTGCAACTGACACCACCCAATCACATCTTCTCCTATAAAATTAATCAAATGATTTGGAGTGAACTTCTTAAAATTAACTTATCTAGTTATATATGAATGTAAGTACCCTCACAAAATTAGTTTTCTCACCATCAAAATAAAGTTTCATGCTTGACACATCAAAATCTATTTTATAACATTCCAATACTCTTCACCCGGATTTCAGAAAAATCTACTAATTATACTTTGTATGGTGTACAATATTGTATATATCAAACAATGCATTTACTTAACGAACTTGCCTCATATTAAAATTCTCAATTTATTTATTTAAAATTAATAATACGAAGAGTGTCCACCACCTTTTCTTTTCTCATATGGAATCTCTACAACATTTTTCGATATAATATTCTTGTGACAACTAAAACTTTTTTTTATGCATGATTCTTATATTAAGAATCTATTTAGCAACTCTTAAGTCCTTCATGAAAACAACTTACCTAATTATCTCTTTAACATATCAATCTTGAAAATATATTTTTTAATAATAAATATGTCATCAATATATAATAATAAGATAATAAAATCATCGTCATAAAGTTTTCTAATAAAGACACAATGATGAAAAATAATCTTCTTATAATCTTGATAACAAATTTTATATGTTTTTGTCTTGAAGTTTTCTTTAAATCAAACCATATAGGCTTTGTCTCAATTTACACACGAAGTACTTTTAATGTATAGCAAAATCATCAT